GTCCGTCATTTTTGAACGCATAGGATAAACATCTAATGAAGAAGAAATGCGATATATCCACAGCGGTCGTAATAGTAATATCATCGAAGCGATTGAATGTTTAGAATATCGGAATTGTGGTTAACGAGAGTAACTATTTAACCTTATCGTGCAGGACGAATTGAAATCGCGTGTACAAACGACGCATACAGCTCCAGTACGATCGCAACACCGTAAACCAAAACTATCGTTACCAAATGTAGCCGAGTCTCTCTTCACAATATATCATCAACGAATAACGGATTCATGATACACCATTTCGAAACATAAACATAGCTCCGATCAATTGCACTTGCTAAATTGCTTACACAACGATGACTTCCTGGCATCACTAATTTTATGTTTAATAACGTTCAAAATGTACTGATAATATGGGCATAATGAGAATATACGGAGAATCTGGATAATTTGTATCGACTTTAATCACCGATCAAATAACCTACCAATGTTCTAAAAAAAATTAATATTATACAAATAAATGTCGACAAAATTAATTCCTAACAGGTTGTTGGAAACCTAACCTAACTTAACAGATTGTTGGAAACCTAACCTAACTTAATAGGATGTTGAAAATGTCTGCGACAAACTTTGTCTGTCAATATTTTTTACTTCGATCAATTTTTGATTTTATAAAAAATATTTTGTTATACAAATATTTAGGCAGCTTCAACATTCGATAAAAAGCATTTGATCGGTTTTCGTCCGATGTATAAGTCTCCTATGTCCACCATAGGTCTAATATAATATATTAATTCGCGAATGTATGTACAGAGCATTGAGTAATGGAGAAAACTAGTAACTGTCAGGCCGACTTTTACGGAGACGATCATGAGTCTACGGAACTCCAATGGAACTTTTCTGTTCGCCTAATTGTCCTAACGGCTGACCTCAACGCTTATTATCCCTTTATCCCTTCCTTTGCTTCCGTACTCTCACAACTTTTTCTTTGTTTTCTCTGCGAAGCAATATGCATTTGACGTCAGACCCGGTGGTTTCGAAATATCGAACCGTTGTTTAGCGCTTCAACTCTTCCTTCCTATCGTCACTCAATTAAATTTCGCAATGCGTTTATTAATGAACGATATCCGATGTTCCATTGTTATATGTAGGTAATGGACAGTTTTTGAAGTTTTTATATTTTTGTTTAATTGTTTAATCCATTTTCCAATTCGTAAATTTTCAATTCTTGAATTATCCGTATTCTAGTAATTCTATATTTGCTGTCTGTGCGTTTGTTCGACCGTCATAAAATCCGTCGCGCATTCGAGAGTTTCGCGTTCTATCGGCAAACAATTCGAGTGGCCAGGAAAACGGATTCGCCGTTGGATCAGCATTACAGGATATCTTGTTAAGACACTGAAATCGAGCCGTATCTCGTATTCCCGAAGTACACAAAGGGATAATTAATGGTAAAAGCATCGGTGATACGCAGACTCCGAGAGCGTCTTCTGTCCGCCATGTTCTCGACAGGTGCCAGAGATCGAGTAGTTCCGTGGTCAAGGTTTGTCCGTCGAATGAATAATGCCGGTATACTTGTATCGTACACCATCGTTTGCTCGGCACGATGGTAAAGTCGAAGCTATCCGGTTGGATGTTTGCACCGGTGCACCTGTGTGCGAACGTGTTACGCGTCTCTGGAAGCACCTGAAAGTAAAACTTCCATGATGCTGCTCTCCTGGAATATGCACGCTTACACTTAGAAACACCGAGTGACCCCGCTAGACTGGCTGCAACTTTACAGGCATAAACGTCTTTGCACGGAAAGGATCAAAATGAAACTCACGTTCATCGTTTCTCCCTCGTTTCGTTAGTTCTAAATGCTGCAACACTTCCGTGTGAATAAATCTTCTACTTGCGATTTAGGATTAATTTTGCAAATGTAGGTGGATTAGATGGTTGAATCGTAGGAGTTAAGGGGAGGACATTTGGTGACATTTTGTGGAGATGTAATGGTAGAAAGTCATATGGCATCTAGTGATCTCTGCCGTTGGATCAGCATTACAGGATATCTTGTTAAGACACTGAAATCGAGCCGTATCTCGTATTCCCGAAGTACACAAAGGGATAATTAATGGTAAAAGCATCGGTGATACGCAGACTCCGAGAGCGTCTTCTGTCCGCCATGTTCTCGACAGGTGCCAGAGATCGAGTAGTTCCGTGGTCAAGGTTTGTCCGTCGAATGAATAATGCCGGTATACTTGTATCGTACACCATCGTTTGCTCGGCACGATGGTAAAGTCGAAGCTATCCGGTTGGATGTTTGCACCGGTGCACCTGTGTGCGAACGTGTTACGCGTCTCTGGAAGCACCTGAAAGTAAAACTTCCATGATGCTGCTCTCCTGGAATATGCACGCTTACACTTAGAAACACCGAGTGACCCCGCTAGACTGGCTGCAACTTTACAGGCATAAACGTCTTTGCACGGAAAGGATCAAAATGAAACTCACGTTCATCGTTTCTCCCTCGTTTCGTTAGTTCTAAATGCTGCAACACTTCCGTGTGAATAAATCTTCTACTTGCGATTTAGGATTAATTTTGCAAATGTAGGTGGATTAGATGGTTGAATCGTAGGAGTTAAGGGGAGGACATTTGGTGACATTTTGTGGAGATGTAATGGTAGAAAGTCATATGGCATCTAGTGATCTCTGGAATGCACAGATACCCAAGTATCTAAATAAATTATACAAAGTCATATGGAATCTAGTGATCTAAGAATATAAGAATACTTGAATGCACAGATACCCAAGTATCTAAATAAATTATACAAAGTCATATGGAATCTAGTGATCTAAGAATATAAGAATACTTGAATGCACAGATACCCAAGTATCTAAATAAATTATACAAAGTCATATGGAATCTAGTGATCTAAGAATATAAGAATACTTGAATGCACAGATACCCAAGTATCTAAATAAATTATACAAAGTCATATGGAATCTAGTGATCTAAGAATATAAGAATACTTGAATGCACAGATACCCAAGTATCTAAATAAATTATACAAAGTCATATGGAATCTAGTGATCTAAGAATATAAGAATACTTGAATGCACAGATACCCAAGTATCTAAATAAATTATACAAAGTCATATGGAATCTAGTGATCTAAGAATATAAGAATACTTGAATGCACAGATACCCAAGTATCCAAATAAATTAGAAACCATAGATGTGGAGCCATAGATGCTCGATCACTTCACGATTTGGCCGTCGCTACTTTAATCAGCGGTGGCCAATAGATCTTGCACCGCCGAGCGCATTTCATAGCTGTTACAACCGATATTCTGTCATCGTGTATCCAGCAATTGACTTAATGATGCGTGTGAATCTACTCTCGATGCAGGACCTAAGTGCATACAAGAGGTAACATATTGGATGCTCACACGGTTAACAAGCATCTGAGCAAACAACCTGCAACGGCCTTGACAAAACAGCTTCTGCTGTAGCAGATAACGGTAATGCAGCCCGTTATACGCGAAACTTGGCGATCCGTGGCCGAAGACGAGGGAAAAAATGATTAACGTCGCGCGCCAAACACGTCCCGTGGAACGCAAATATTTGTTGGCAAACAAATTTAACGTTATGTATTCGGAGGGTCAATTATACGGCAGCGACAACATTATTAAAGCCCGGATAAACGAGCTTCGTACACTAAAACGCGAAGTTACTTCTCGTCGACGCAATTAACGGCTTCAGCTATTTTCGCGGCAATTTAAACGGGTATAAGTTAAATCGTTCGATAACACGCCGGGTGGATGCTTTCGAAGTTCTGGAGTGTCGTGAGTTTGCGAACCCAATCTATCGAAGGTGCATAGAATTTCGCCTCGTGTGGGTGTACATGCGACGAACAGGGTGCGCACAACAGGGTGCAGCGTTAGATAGAGTTGGGTGGCTCGTGAATTATAGAGATCGTCGTCTATTATGAGATTCAGGCCAAACACCTTACGCACGATGGTCTATCGCTGATAATAACGATTATCGCTTGTATCGCGAAAGATATCGGCAGATGAATCATTTCGGCGAATTATTATCTTCATCGCCTTTCCGTGAAACAGACAATTACGTACCACTCGCAGAAATGAATCAACGATACGTGTTTTCGAGATCTCGATCTTATAGATAAAGGTATTTACACTTGATACCGAGAACATTTGTGTTTAATTGTGCTAAATGATGTAACGGACTTAACGGTAGGAAGTTTTCATTTATTTATTAAAGGGAACTTTTCATTTATTGCGGTATTTTTGAAGTGGGTTGTGAAGGTCAATATCTTGGGCGATAAATTGCTTTTATCTTTTCATACTAAATTCTTAAAATTAGAAATGATCAAATTTCTAGTCCGTTAAATCCTATATCTAAATCTCTAAACCACCAAATACGTAGGTACCTATATTCCTATGCCCTAAAATTTCTATTCTGACAAATTCTTAAATTCTCCTCTTCTATATTCAAATCCTTAGGTCTTTTTATATGTTAAGTCAAAATTCTATAAATTTAATTTTAAAGTTTTCAAAAATTTCTAAAAATCAAGAATTAGAAATCTTCTCAACACATTCTCTAATTAATTAACGATTTATCACTTAATCATTAACCCAGTTTTCCTCGAAATCTCCAAAAGCGAACAAACAATATTTATACACAGAACTCATCAATTTATCGTGTCGATACACACTTGACTTCCGTCCTTTCCGGGTATACACTCCAAAACACTTGAATATAACAGATTTCTGAAAAAAGCGATCGTTGATGCCATTAACTAATTTATCACGACTAATCAATCGATACGATCCATTTTTCACACGATCCGTAAACGTTTTCACCTGAACGCACGTGTTCTGAGAATAAATCTTTCCAGAACGGCTAAGTGGACTGTTGCAAACATATCAACGATAAGCAGACTGATAAGACAGTTGTTGGGGCTATTTAAACGACGACACGGTCGATCGATATCATAACACGCTCTACCGTAGCACAAGTGTGACTTCAAAGTTTCGTACACAAGTTTCGCAGAAGAAAAATGTCGACTAACAAGTTGATCTTTTACTTGGCCGTAGTGGCCATCACGGTGACTGTTACTCAAGTCACCTCGTCACCTCAAGTTGGTCATTTCGCCGCCAACAATACCAACAAGTCACACCATCTGATCGTTGGATACAGAATGGCAGGTGACAGACTGGTACTCAGGCAAAACGTAATCAAGAACTCATCGTGGATGCAAATTGTCACCGAGGAGAAGACCTTCAACGTTTCCAGATGGGACAGAATCACGCAGGTTCAAGCTCTCGACCAGAAAACCAATGGCAACGGTGCGTACGCCAGTTTGTTGAAAGGTGGCCCAGGAAGTAACAACGTTACCTTGAGGTTCAAGAGCCAGAGGGGCCACGGAATTAATTTCGTCGTCGAACTTTATGCTCGTCCTTGAAAGACTGGTGTCATTCCCAACTGATTTTGTCACACTTATTTAAAACAATTTCTTTCTTTATTTCGAACCAGATCAAATTTCATTTAAATGTACCATTAACTCTTTTAACCTTCTTGTGATTAATAAACATTGTTGATTATGTTAGCATTTTAATCGTTACTGTTTTATTATTTACAGTATATCCTTAGCCTTAATTTTATTTGTTAGAAAATTAGATAAATCGATGGTGAACTTGTACATGGTAACAGGACATTCAGTTTCTTATAAAACGTGTTTTCATTTTTTAAATGTGTAAATGTACATATACAGAAAATTAGCTCAGTAATAATTTTCTATCGTTGTAAAAACATACGATAAGAAATAATTTCATAATTTTTAAAATAGATTTCTACCACAATTTTATATGTACATTTAAACTTGACTACCTATTATATATCTTACATCTTACTTGACTAACTTGAATTCTTACTTGACTGACTGACTTGAAAGGATACATACTCTTGAGACCATCGAAAAATAATTTCATAGTAAATCTTAAACTAGACTGCTATCACGATAAATTTATTATGTGGTATTTATACATCCATTAAAGCGATCAGGACTGGGTTCCGATCACGAATTGGGTCCTTGACGATATCTCCTTGAGGCCGGTGTCGATAATAATGCAATTAACGCTGCAGCGGAACGACAGAGCCCTCGAAGCGAAAAACAGGCTGCGAGGAATTCGTTGATGGAATGTCTTTCTTGTACGCGCTAATCAAGCAGACCCAATTCCCAATCGTTCCCCGATAATTATTTCTTTCCCTCCTGTTTCCGCAAGCTCCTGCGCAGATACTCCCGCAAGATAAAAGATCGTTCACGAGTTTACGTAGAAAGTATATTTTGTGCATGCATGCGTGGCGGTACGGAAAAGGAACAACCGACTGGAAAATTGTTGTTGCATTCTACCATGGGTACCCAGAGAGTTGAGAGACACTGGAATTGGTGGCGGTATCTCAAGCTTGCGAACGACCATTTCGTTAACCTACTTATTCTATCTTCGTTCCACTCGTACGACTAGCTATAGTGTCTAGTTTGTCTGCAGTTTCTACCTTCTAAAAACGTCCTCCCTCTCCGCAGGGAAATACAATTTTCTTCCTACCGGATTGTTCTTTAATGATGTCAGACATTCGGAGGTCACTAGACATTTATTCCGTAAACAGACACGGACTTGTAAATCATCTTAAATACCCGCGAAATGGAATTTCATTTCAAACTTTCCCATCTAATAGCGTGAAACGTACCCCGGTTGGCACGGCATGCCGGTCGCCCACCATGTTGCCGACGATGTATTAACCCTTTTAATGGCCGCTGCCCGTATTTGCGATATGAAGATACGATTTTATTTGGAACCGTGTGTCACATTTACTGCAGATCGAAATCTTTCCTTCCTTTTTCAATTCTTATAGTTTTTGTTTGAGAAAAATAATAGCAATTTTTTTAAAGTTCCAGAGGAATTTATCTGCAGATTTTTTGTGGGGACAAATGTTATCCCTTGGAGTGTCTTTAAAAAGGGTTCTATCTAAAGGAACTGGTATTAAAATCTGTACAATAATATATGAAAGTTGAAATGCGAATTAGGAAAGGTACTACAAAGTTAATTTGCAAAACTAGCTTTAAAAAAATGTTATAATGTTTATATGTTCATTACGCAAACGATATGAAGATAACATAAAAAATTAAACAAAGAAATTTATCAAGTTTCATCCCTAAACGAAATAAATAAAAATTCTATAACTCAAAATTGTAAAGTTCCCAAAATAAAAAATTCCAAAAACTGCAAAGTCCGAAGGTTCTAAAATCCAAAGATTATGAACTCTTAAAGTTTCCATCCCCGAAATTTGTCGAAAGGCATTTCTAAACTACTAAACATGTCCAGTTCCATAATTTACAAATTTCAGTGTTCCAAAGTCACCAAGATCGATAACCCGATACAACTTAAAAAGGAATCAGGCATCTCGGTGTACGATGCTAACAACTCTATAAACGTGAACCCTAGCACATGTTCTACAAGAATAGAAACGTCACCTGTTTTAGCAACGATGAAATAGCTTCGCGTACGAAGAACTGTCAAGTTCCCTTTTTGATAGCAGACTGTGTTTATGCTCGCAACAATTCCAAAGTTTTATTCTAGACGTACCAGATCTTTTTTTACCTAGATATCGATCGACACTTCTGAGGTCGCTGTACTTTACACACGAGGAAAGTTACGTATGTCGTATGACATACGGGTCATTAGTTCTAGAGTCTATAACCAGAAAATCTTGATCAAAGTGTTCCTATTGTTCTGCGTTTTGCTCAAAATGTGCAAACAATGGTAAAACGCAACGCAAATAGAGCGAAGTCTCTGATAAAGCAGAAGGTCGTCTGAAATTCAACTTTTCCTTCTCGCGTAATGGCGCCCGATAAGAGCATCTATGAGTCATAAACTTTGTATGCATCAGAAGCATTCGACCGCAACTGTCGGTTAGATTTAATGCGAAAGCGCAAGGACCACCCCGTGCACGGCCATAAACCTGTCCTGCACGCTTTCGGTTATTGCTTGTAAAGTTACGAAGCTGACGAGCAAACGTGCAAACGAAGCAGCGGCGAGCAAACAATTCGATGACAGGATTGGGCGAGAACGAATGAACGAACGAAAGCGTGTTTGCACGGGTGTACACCCTGCCGTTTCTACAAAAGACCGTCAATCTGAAACCGCAACTGCCATTATCGGGCAATTTTAAACGGAAAGCCGTAGTTACGATCCTGCGTTTAGTCTTTGCACTCGTGTCGATTAAAGCGGTTCTTCCCGCAAGCTCTGTAAACACCGCATTAACCGCAAAAATTTCCCGGTGTCGAACACTTTCACGAAACAGCAATGGTACAAAATGGAGGAACATTAGAGCGTTCGGGGAGCACATGTTAGCCAAGGTATCAACGACATAATGCAAGTCAGCCGAGTTATAGTCGTTACGCAGCAAGTCTTCAATGAAATGGTTTTAATGGATTGGCCAACTGACTTGCATTTTTCGTTTGACGAACGGTCCGAGTTAACCTACTGTAAAAGCTGATCAGGATTTGTAGGAAAGATGAGTTCTGACCACACTGCGTCACTTCGAAATCGCTTATCTTAATACGATTATTTTTCATTCATCGGTAATTACACAGATTACCGAACTGGGGATTTGGGATGCAATCACAAGTGTATCGCGTAGCTTATCAAAGATAGAGGTATATTTGACAGCGGATCCTTTGAAATCAATCCCAAGTGCTGATTAGCCGCGATTGCAAGATCACAGGCTGAACATTATTACGGTCACGACATAAGTCAACTGTGTTGCCCCATGCGGTCAGCTCGTTAACCGGTATGAACTGTACACCCTGACCAAGTAATCCGCGTTTATATGAAGAAGAAACAGGATTGATATCCTTTGATATCCTTCAGAGGAGAGTCATCGCGAATCTGTCTTAATTGAAAGGGACGTCCTGATGAACCGGTATTTGCATGAAAGGTTAAGTGCAGATAATTTCTTCATAAGCATATCAGGTTATGACGTACGAAGCTCTAAAAGCAGTCGACGTTTCAATATTTCGTGCAATTGAAAATATCGTACGAGGTGGCAAGAACAGATGATTTAAATAGTTCGACCTTGTTCGCATTTACTTCTGTGTTTACGGTATATCATTCAATTATATCGTACCAAACTTGGAAGTAGTTCATCAGATACCAATCCTGAATATCCCGTTGTCTCCTTTTGTATCGTTGCCTTTATGTTAAATGTCACGTTCGGTATCGAACGAAAATAGCAATCTGCGAGCAGCGATAGAATTTTAACGATAAAGTGGGACAGTAATAAAAATTTATAGATACTCGGCGGAATTAAACAGTTGAATTTTTCGAATTAAACATTCAGAAACTGGGCCGGCCATTTTGAGAGCTTCATGCGCTGCAGGAACAAAAGTACCACTCCAACGTGAAAGCGTCTCTGAAAAATCTTTTTATTTTATTTCACGTTCTTATCTACGCGTAGCTTTATACACCGTCTAATATGGCGGCTTCTCCATTTCCCAGCGAACAATGAACGTAATGCATTTACAGAAGTAGAAAATTGTTAATAGAAAATTTTTGTTGCTAGATTGCCCGAAGCTTCAATACCGTTGATTCTTTCAAACCTTTGAAAATATCGCACACGATAAATCACTGTAGAAACTTCTTATACCAGCACGATATTCCTGCGAACGATAAATTGTAGATGCTTCGTTCGAGAAAATGGCATGACATATCGTGCGAGAAAAGGTAACGGCAGGCAAAATACTGGGTGTCGGACAGATACGAGAACTATAGGCACAAGTAATCATCGTCAAGGGACGTAGAGGCTCTTGTCAATAAATACTGACATTTACGCGCCTTCGTATCGATCTGAGAACTGTCTTGAAAAGACAACACCCTCGTACTGGTTCGATAAACTTCAAACTGTCCATACAATAAAATAGCAACTTATAGTTTCCCTATCAGATGATAGACACGTTGGCTCCACACGCAAGATTAAATTAATGTTATACATATGTGAGCATTTTTAAAAACACCAACCAAAAGTCATGTATTATAAATTTTATTCCTCTTTCTAATCTTAAAGAAGAGGTAAAATCGTAGGTGCTGCTTATTTACTTTCCTCCTGGGATACCTTGCAACAGATACAACCCGCAAAAGCAAATTAATTATCATTTCCAAGGTTGCATTTTTCTGTTACAGATTAACGGTGAAGTTTAATTACGAAGATAATGAGGTTGGCAAACGAAGGATCCAATCAAGCGAATGTCCATAGGCGTGGCTTCGTCATTAGGCTGTTATATAAAATCAGTTTCTTAGCTGTTTTTCTGATAATAACGAAGGTCTTCATAAATATTAAAACTATTTTTGTTTTATTTGATATGCACTCTTAAAGCACAGCGGCACCCGTGTAATTTCGTTCATAAAGCTTTATGAAGAATGCGATAAATCAGTTGGCGAACGATCTACATATATTTATGCAACGAGTTACGGTGAAGTGAATTTTCAGGATGATCCCGAGGGGAGGTGTCTGAGAC